AAGGTTCCCATCCTGGCCTCCCCAGTCCTTGAATTTAGTGTTTTCTGCATCCAAGTGAACTAACAGTCTTTATACGTACCTCCAGTCTTCACCTGGGAAATGCAGGACTGACTTCAACTTCTTCTTGCTCCTGGGCTGAAGGATATACCGTATACTCTGAACGGTATGGAATGTGCTCAAAAGCACGTGAAACGGACCAACACGCCAGCCATCAGTTTTACATAGAGGAAGGATTAGTCTTATTAAAACTGCTTGCTTTGGACACATCATTCTTTCTCCTGATCTCAGCAGTTTACCAGATTTTCTAAGTTAACTCCTGCAATGCTGGGAACTTGCTTTTTTTTATAAAGGGTTATAAAGAGCACCAAAAGAAATACAAAAGAACCATCTAAAGCTGAGATCACCTGGACAAGGCAATCTGAAATTAAACCAATCACATGCATCATCTCTCCCTTCTTGTGTGGTCTTCTGAAAGTATTCAAGTAATTGCTCCTGTTCAGGCAAACATCAGGGAGAAAACAAACAGCATGCACGAAAACAGACATCAACAGAGCTCACTCATCCAGTTCACAGACCCACTGGCTGTGCCAGCATCAGGCACGGTACTCGGACTGAGACAGGCAGAGCTACTGCTCAGCGCTGGCAGCAGTGGAGGGAGAATAAAGGCATTTTAAGAAACACTGCACATATTCTAGGGACAGAATAACATGGATCAGCTAGATTAGCATTCACTGAAGTACTTCCAGGGCCTCGTGTCAAAGAACTTGCAGCCATCATACTACAGGAATTTTACTGGTCATGCGGTAGAGGTATGCCTGAGTAGCAGCTGAGCAAGACAGAGACAAGTGGATTCAACCACTGAGTTTAACACGACAGACAGTGAATAAAGGACAAGCATATGTAAGTCCTACTGAGACTTTAAAATTTAAACTCAGAATCTTGGCAATACAGCTAGAGACAGCAAATGATACTTACAAAAGCTATCGAGTATGCCACACAGGTGATGAACAAATGCATACAACACAAAGGTAACAAAACAGGTATTTCCCACAGGATGACACAACAAAGTACGCACAGAATTTTCACAAACGTGTACCGTCATCTTTATGCATATAACGTTTACAATTCAATTGTAAATCTGAAGGTGACAATTCAATTATAACACTGCAGTTATAGTGCACTGTCTGCTTTTTTCCTCTTTGTTTCTAACCAAAGATGGTGAATACGATGTCCCAGTATCAAGAAAGCACTCGCTACAAATAAAGATATCCTTAAATTCAAATTGACTAATGCTTTAATATTATTAAATATAATAATTGATTAATGATTTAATAAGAAAAGATAGCAAAACAGTAGAAATCACGATGGATTCCTCAAACAAATCTCCATTAGACAGTGATTGAATCCATCAATAGTAGAACTACTTAACTGTAATCAGGTTTAACACAGGCAAGGAAACATTTTTTCCCTTCTCTTCCTCTCAAATTTAGTATCAGATCAGAAAAGCAGCTGTACTGCTGTATACTGCTTTTGACTCAAAATACGTGAGTTTTCCTACGACTTCATACAAATACACATCTCTGTCCCTATGAACTTAGAACAAAAGGAAAAAAAAGAAAAAAAGATGAAACTCTTCTCTTAATCCCCAATCATCAGAAAGTACCCTTAAGGTAAGCAGGCCTACTAGGATCAAAAGATACCGCAGTTCTTGCTGTGGCAAAAAAACCCCAAACTCTCACTGGAAAGCAGCTGTAAAAGGTTAAACATAGACGTTAATTCAGGAGGAGAAAGATACTCGGGAATTTTCCCACAATAATAGCTCAAGAAGTATAGCTACATTCTTCCAAGATAGATGCAACACTGATGGTGTCAAGCACGCATGGTTAGACTTTAAATATTCACCTAATCCAAAGTGAGAAGCATCTCCTATGCAAACTTTACTATGCAAACAGGATAATCCCCAGATTCCCCACTTAGCTCATTTCAGTGAAAATACCAGAAATGGCTCAATTAGAATCAAAGACAGCAAAAATAAAGACAAGCACGCATGTTTCTCAGATTCCTAGCTCTCATTTTCTTCCTCTTTTTCCCAGTGACGACTGACAGAAGGAAATATACACCCACCTCACAGTCTTCCATACAAGTAAATACAAAAAAATCAAGTGTTTATTGGAAGTCTGCATGAAGGCACAGATGAGCTTGATTACAGACACATCGTAACAATTACAAATATATGTAAACACCTTGAGATATACAACAAAGCAATAATACAGCTAATACAGGAATAAAATATAACCTGCTAAAAAGAACACTTCTTTGTATCTCAGGTTCTTTCAATGATAAGCTCCAATTCACACCAACACAGTGTAATGCTTTTGAATTCATCACTTGGATTCATGCTCAACAAATCTGCACTTTGACCACTGTTGTTCACCACTGGATTTATAAATTTGAACTGAATTTGAACAGGCTTCCTTCACTAGGATCAGGAAAACATAACCAGCTAGACACCCAAGGAACCAACCTGTAATGAAGCTTTGTAGTTTCTCTAAATACACAAGAGCAATCACCAAGGTACTGAAATTAAATATAAGCTTCAGAAAAGCTCAGAGATGCTTGTCCCATTTTTACTTGCATTTGAGGAAACTGCTGTATTTCTGCAGGAAAGGAACAGTCTACAGCTGTCAGGTGATTTTTTTCTTCCTCCACAGGAGGCTTAGATTTCATGTGAAACACCTGCCAAAACAAAAGTCAGCAATCACAAACTAAAGTGCCTTGGACAGCTTAGGTTTTACCACTAAACACCTTCGTTTATAGATACAGTATTAATTTATATTGTGAGAAAACCCACCTTTGCATGTAGAAGACTACTTCCAATATTTATGTGGAAAGGGGCATTGCTTTTTTTGGCTTTTTTTTTTTTCTTTTTAATTAGATACCAATGCCAGGAACTTAAGGAATTGCACCACAGCACTTTTTGGGGAAAAAAAAAAATCACACAGAAAAAAATGGTAGCTTTAGTACAGGCAACTCCCAAGCCCAGCCAGAGCACTCTGAGCAGCAATTCACTACAAGGGACACACAGTTTTCTCTAACTCAGCCCTCAGCAATCCATCTTAACTCCCTACTCCTCCTCCCCGTACGTTTTATGACCTCCAGAGCCCAGATCCAGTGAGAACAGACTCCCACCCAGGTAACACAGGCAGAACAAACCTAGCACACCTACACCACTTCTCCTGATCCTGTGGCCACATCATCCCAACCTAAAGATGAGGTAGTACTTTTCTTTGGAGCCTAACTAGTTGAATAGGAACAAGCACTATTCTTCGTAACGTAACAGCTGCTTGTTAATGCAGTGCCAAACTCTGCAGTTTTAGCTCCTCTTCAGGGCACACTATTAATGCAAGAACAGCAACAGCTGGTTAAAAATAATAATTAAAAAAAACCATGATACAAGCACACACTCCCACTTGAACTGACTGCATCATAAAGGCCACAGTCTGGCATATTCAGTGACTTCCTCCAGTCCACAAAGTGGCAATGAATCTTAGCCTCTATTTGCACTGGGACTAGTGGTTATTACCCAAGAGGAACATGAAGGATATCCTGAGTACTTACTACAGTGAGATGTGGAATCTCTTCTTAAAAAAAAGTTTAAATATTAAGAACTCTGGTCCAAATCCAGAAAGGGCTGGGAGAGGAATTCAGCTCCTCAGGGAACTGAAGAAACCAGATTGTCTCTATGCATACAGTCCACTTGGTAATTAGGGGTCTGTTTTCTCTCTCCTCAAGAGGACAGACCCTTCCCCAGAAGGAGGTTGTTGTAACACATGCATGTATTATAATTTTATAGCTTACACTCATAAACCTGGTTTCTTATGAGATGGCTTGAACTGAAGAAATATGCTCTGCATAGTCCATGCTCTGTAGACTCCCAAGGATCAAAAAGAAATAGCCTGCTATGACTGAAACAAAAAAAAGGAAACACCAAAACGAGCTGAACAGCGTTAGAACTCACACTTGTAAAACTAAGCATCAGGATTAGAAAAAGCACTACAAGGCTTGAACAAGGTCCCTGGATGCAGCCTCTTAGTAAGCATTAATCAATACCGAGGATGAGAGATTGTGTTCTTTGATTGACCAAGTATGCAAAGCTATTTTGTCTCTGCGATTAGTTTTTACTTATTTAACAAAATACACGGAGCCTAAATTGTCTCATGCTGGTAGTGCAACTTGCACAGACCCCAGGAAGCTTTCTCAGTTTCACTGCTTCCAAGACTCTATTTTTCATTCAGCTGAAGTACACAGGCAGACGGATTCCTGAAAATGAACATTTTAACAGGAAAGGAATCCTGTTCTGTTTAGCTCCAGCACAGCAATTAATTGCCAATACAAAAGTACTGACACTTTCTTGAAAAACTCTGACAGTCCTTTCTGCCCTTGGGGATACGCTCTCAGAGGAGTACACGCAATTAAAACCACCTTATCTGGCTGTTAACTGGAAAACTAACTCCGAGCAGTCCCACCTCTTCTTCCAAAGAACTTCTCTGGAACAAATAGTGGATAAAATAAACTCTCAATGCTCTATAGAGCATCAGCTGCACTCCAGTGTCCAAGCCAGATTCCTTGAGAGAAAAAGTAAAAAGAAAGCTGCTTGATTGTCAGAGAGGAAAGTGCTGTTGAAACAGCTACAAGATTTTTTATTTTTCTTTAAACCCTTTAGCTGTAAAAGGGTACACTTACAAAATGCTCATCGTAACTGAAAACTGCTTCTGTGGTCTTATACAACTAATGATGATGCAGTGTGCAACTGACAGGCATCAGGAATGAAAAGGACAGCAGACACCCACCCAGGTGCTTCGGAGATCGAAGCCAAGCATCTAAGCCCTCCTCGTAAGCTGGACCTCGTCGTCAAGTGAGTTTCTCCAGTCTATAGGAGATCTGACAAAATCACAGCTGCAGAATCATAATCCATGACTATAATTCACAAGGAAAACTGAAAATCCATTTGCATTTATTAGGAGATGGTTGTGCACAATTCCTCATCGTATTCAAAAGTCTACAAATAGAATTTAACACTTCTGACTGCAAGCAAATGTTTGTTCAACGTTCTTAGTTGGCTAAGGCCGACTTGGCGCCTTGTTACGCTCCCAGGATTTAATTACATTTGTCAGTTCTTTACTTTCCTCTGGTAACAGTCCCACTGGAATAGTAAGGAGAGTTCTCTAAGACACTTTATAACAGCAGCTGAACTTGGGTCATGCAATTTCAGTTTTGGAATATGCTTCAAATGTCAATTCTTCCAGGCAATTTTCATTTTTAAGATCTCAGAACAACACTGTCAAAGGCGTTCCCCCTTCCCACCCTCCCCTCCCCCCCAGCACTTATACTACCACCACTATAAGCTCACATTCTATAGAGCCGTATGTCCAAGAATCTCAAAGCACTTCAGGAAGGAGGGCACCATTTTAAATAGTGGTATACTTGGAATTCTACTTATAAAAGAGGTTGGTTTTTTTTATATTCGTCTTATGTTTACAAAAGGACAAGCATCAAATTAAACCAGTCCGATCTTGACCTTAGTGCCACCTCTGACTGCCTGTAATTCTCTCACACGCAATCCTACTACTGATTCAGGAGCTCTCTTTAATTACAACACTCACAGCTGAGTTTCCTCTATGCAAAGGTGAGCATCTGCTATGGTCAATTATTTTCAGATGGAAGCACTGGTCAAATTTTAGGTCTGCCAAAATCTTGAGAATCACTTGATTGGAGAGTCACTACCACAACTAATGTCATTTGATAATGCACTTGATCCCGTATCGGTTTAAGAAGTTTAACAGACTATATATGCATTTCTCTAAGTTATTTCAGAGCTGAAACTACATAACTACAGTGAAGAAGTTCTAGTTTTGCCCTAAGTGGAACCTTTTACAACATTATTTTAACTTACTATTTTGATTTAGAGCACTAATTTTATAGAGATCTTCAGTTTGCAATTCTTACTCAATAGGTGAGCGGCAAACATGAAAACATATGTACAAGTGTTAGTATACTACCAGAATGCTCTACTTCCTTCTTAAAAATGTCCTTAATAAAGCATTAGGCATGTCAAACAAACTTTTGTAAACAAAAGATAAATTACTCATCTTCTGCTCTGATTATAGCCAGATACATATTCTCATAAAATAAACATTCTCTTGTCATTTTCCATGGCCCACATATCCATATATATGAGGTAAACCACTTAAAATCATCAATAATATATAATCGTCAGTACTCAACAGGAACCTGGGGATAAAATATAACTAGGATGTCAATATCAAGAAGTGACACTTTGTTCCACTGCAAAGTGAAACCAATTTATTTGTGCTAAACGAATGGAAAGAATGTATTCAGAATACATCTCTTTATACATTGTACCGGCTTAGGCTGCTAAAGAAGCATTCATTAGTGCCACGTTGTGCTACTTTCTTGTACTCTGTTTCTACCAAGCAATACAACATTTTGGCCGTTATGCCAAAATATTCCTATATGCTCATCTTGTATCTTATTTTCTAACAGACTTTTGATCATTTAGAATAAGCTGGTAAAACTTTGCCTCAGGGGAGTCACAATTAATATATTTTAACAAGAAAAGAATTCTCATCAGCTGTTCTCTACAATCACATTGCCTTCTGCAGCAAAAAAACCAAAGAGCACACTTTAATCAGCAATCAGTAACCTGTGGGCAGGACCACACTTACCGAAGTTAATCGTGACAGATCACACAGTATGGGCAGCTTACAGGTTAATGTAAATGTCAAGCGAAATCATCAAACCTTAAGGTCCACGAATTGTACATTCCACAGACTCCAACAAGCCAGTTCCCTCACTGTAAAATTCAGACTGTACCATATGCTTGAGGTGCTTTTAAAACAGGAGAAGAACGGATGCGTCTTGTGTGCTGAATTAAGCTTATTTACTATGTAATACAACAGAGTATGTGTCTTGGGCACTGATCAGGGTGTCTGACTCACTTTTGCACTAGAAGTCGTTATTTCAAATGACTGAAACGTAGTGCTGATTTTCTATAAGCTTGGTAAACACTGTAATATTTCAGAATTTGTCATATAGCCCATCATGCCTTTAATTTTCTGCAAATCGTCATGAAAAAATATAAAAAGGTATCCCTTTAACTTTACAAACCTAAAAGCCAGGAAAATGAAGCTTTGGAGCCAAGCAAAACGACATAATGCCGTATTACCAAACAGAGTAGCAAATGTTCCAGCCAGAGAATGGACATACACGTAGTTCAAGTAAACACTGATGGAAAACTTTGTTAAGTTAGTGTTGTAGACCCACAACACTGGCTGCATTTTATACAAACGTTTACAACACAATTAACAGTGAAGCCTATATAACCTCAGTGCAAATAAGTCAAATCCAAATATGCCAAGTAAGCCTTTGGCTTTTAGTAAACTGCTCCATGTTATGAGTCCACTTCTGACACACAGACTGCTGAGCACATGCACTAAGGCTGAGAGGAGGGATGCACTGAATGTTGAAAAGTGGCTGACTGCGACGCTGCGGATTGGACCGTAGGTTGCACAGACGGTGGAGGTGGTGGCGGAGGTGGCTGCACTGGGGTCTGCGTGTTTGGAGAAGGAGGAGGAGTGGGACGTTTAAATTTGTCGGGGCTGTTACTTCTTCGCGGTGATGGCCTCTGCAGAACAAATATTGAAATTATGTTTAACACATGCTCCTGAACAACTTTAGGTGCAAGTTCTTGGCAAAGGGGAAAAAAAACCACAACAAAAAAACAACACAAAAAAAATCCAAACAATTCTGTGGGAAGCATTAATTTCAAAACACTGCGAGAATCACAATACAATTTTTACATAAAATAAATGTTACTTTGAAATGGAGTAGCAAGGGAAAAGGGAAGTACTTTTGAGATCAAACAGAATATGCATTCCTTCCTGTCAGCTCACAGGAAATGAACGCACGACATATGTCCTGACCATATTATATATGATGACCAGCAACCTATAAAGAAATGAGAGATCCTGTAGGGACAGCACTGCCCAGTTGTGCTTGCCAAACCAGTAGGAGATATATGTCCTGAAGATACATTTACCTATGATGACCAGCAACCTAAAAAGAAATGAGAGAACCTGTAGAGACAACACTGCCCAGTTGTGCTTGCCAAACCAGTAGGTGCTGATGGACCTTTAACTTTATGCTTCTGCCATATGAAGTCCAACTCCATGCTACCTGAGTGTGGGTGGAAATGCTTCAAATGCCAGAGAGTCTGCCCAGAATCTCCAGCTTTTTGAAAGAGTCTTAGCCTGCACACTAGAGTAAGACCAAAGCATGACACAAGTTGTTCTTCCAAAAACAACCAAAAAATTACAACCATTTGAGCTGCAGGAGTGAAGCAGTTGTTAAAGAGAGCTCCCCCTATATTGGGTTTTCTGTGAGGGGTTTTTGGTTGTGTCTTTGGTAATGGGGAAGGGCTATGGAGATGGCCCTTGAAGAAGCTACCTGAAAAGCTCCCCCTTTGCCTTTGTCAGCCCCACCTCTGACCAGGGCCAAGCCAATCAGCGCCCCTGTGAATTCATGGATTTAAGGGGGGTGCAGGGCATTTCCTTTCTCTCTCTATGGCACTGACCCTGACCAGCACGGCCCCAGGTGCAGGTGGTGCACCTTGCCCAGCTGGGCTTTTCCGGCCCCAACCGCAACTTCAGCTTAAGCCCCACTGCAGCTTCATCCCAAAAAAAGAGAGAGAGCCAGGACCTCCAGAACCATCAGAAGAGATCTGCAGCGGAGAAAAGAGTGCAAAAATGATAAAAAGATAAAAATGCAAAAAGATAACTCATGTTATCTTTACAAATTTGGGGAGAATGGATCTGCTTTAATGTTATCAATGTAAAAATATAAATTACAGTGCACAACACTACTACACTTTTGAAACCAAAATGCTCACTACTTACCAATCCTGTTAGCGTTAATCAAGAACCTCATGGCATGACAAACCACCCACCCACAATTAATAATCAACCACAGGTGATCAGCTCTGGGGAGAAGCATGATTACAGTGCTATGCCAAATGTACTGTAGGCAAAGTCAATTTATTTTGTAATGGAGATCAAAAATGAAGAGTCAAGAATCAAACTGCAGTTTAGTCAAATAATGTAGAGTGTATCTATTTTGCTGCACAACTATGTACAATTGATTAATGCTGTATGGGAAAGCTAAACTGACTGACGTCTCTGAAATACTTAAAATCATTTATTGCATTTGCGTACATCTAATAATACAAAGGGACCTGGTTTCAGTATTGAGACAAAGCCAAGAGCTACTTATAAACACCTTTCTCAAAACAAATAGTATTTTGTCCTGAAGATGATCTTTTTCACAGTGACTCTATGTGATACCAATTAATTTACAGTTTCAGAAAGAGCAGTATTTCACAGAGACTGAATAGAGCAAGTTCCTTGAAAAGCTTAATTATAAAATGAGATTCTAGGTTTTCCAGAAGCATAAAGATCTTCCTGTGGCTAACTCATGTGAGGGGGGGTGAACCTGGACCAGGATTCTACCTTCC